CCACGACCATCTTAAAAGCTTCTTCTCCTGTTCTTTACATTTACGTGCCCGGTATCTACTGAAGACAGCTATGGGTTTTCCTAGAATTTCCTGTTTCACGGACCTTCTTTGGTCAACTCTATTTAATCATGTGCTCTCATTGTGCTCAAAAATGACAGAAAAAAAACAGCGGGAGGCCACACTGGCTGGAAGCCGAGCCCATTCCTTCCACTCGGTCTCTGTCATAAACGGTTGGCTTCTTATTAAAGATTAAATACAGGTAGAACATCCCATCACATAATCAGAGATAAATAATACGTAGAATATAATAAATATACTGGCAAAGAAATCTTAAGAACATTGACATAGAGGAGTTTTGCTGTCTGTTGTCTGCAGTTGGTTTTCAAAACAAACATATAGAAGCGCAGACTGTTTGCCAACAGTCTTTTTTAATGCTGAGCTGACGAAAGCCCGTAGCTGATAAAGCCACACATTCTATCCGGTCGAGGAGAGTTTTTTCTGTTCCGTCTTTCAGCAGCTTCATGGATTCAGAGACACGTGTCGGACCATCATGCTTTTGTTTGAACGGGAGCTTAGTCATCAACAAATGAGACAGGAACTTTCCAAGATATCGTTTCCCTTCCATTCATTCACCAGCTGCAGACCTCAGGTACTTACGAGTTTTCCATCTGCTGAACAACTCAACGGGAGAGCAACCTCTTTTTATTTAGGCTTTTGAAAATTCCGCAGTTTGAGGGATTTTCTACATGAACACATGAACTTAATAAGCACTATTGATAAGGATGTATTGGATTCATTAGTTCATTTCTGAGGCACCATTACCAAGGATGAAAGTAAAAAAAAATGAATTAACACGCAACGCCAGCTTTCCATATTGGCTAAATATATATGTGCTGTCTTATGAAATGTTTGTATATCTAACCAGAGGAACCAAGACATTAATGTAACAAATGCAGTCTGCTGTTAGAAATACAATTGCTAGAAGCTCTATTTCCATGCTGACATGAATCTGACTGCTTGGAACATGACCCACAAGAGCTTCCCTGACTCCCACTGTTCATCCAAATGATATTAATGAATATAAATGAAGTCCGATCGAGAGCAGAACTCCCCCGTTTCCTGTTCCTGTTCTTACAGCTTCCCAGTGACCAGTTTGGAGTTTGGCTTCATAGACTGATAACAGTATCAAGCCAACATTGCAGTGCAACGGGGCAGTTATTATTTGTGCCTTCCTCACCACGAGCTGCATCGGAAAGCTGGCAGGATCAGTTGGGATTGCCTTGGTTTTTGGTGAAAGGGAAAATATTTCTTTTTTTTTTTTTGAGAATTAAGAGGGGGTCTACACAAAAGTTATTATTGGATGATACCACTTTAAAATAAACATTACTACATAATCTATATTTAGCTCATAAAGTCGTTTAAGAATCCAGGTGACCCAACAAATGTAATGTGCTGCAGTCTGTCCTTGTACAGAATTTGTAGCCAAATATAATTATTTATTGCATTTTGTAGATATGTAGATAAACAAAACATAAACCAGGAGGTGTAAATAAGGCACTCTTGGAGGGTTGTAGAGGTGGACACGAAACGAGAAGTCAACATGGAGTTCTTAATGCCGCCTATGTAGCTTTTTTTTGTCTTGGTGGGAAGTAAAACAAACAACATGAACAAATGGTCGAGAAAAGAAATAGCAAACTATTCCCATATTAAGTGCCTCTGCATGAATGGACTTCATCAGGTGTCACGGTTCCTGCCCTCATTACTTAAACCCATTTCCAGCTTTAGACTAACGCTGTTATTGCCCCTCTCCAGCTTAATGGACATCCGAATGCCACCGAGAGGAACTCAGAGTATGAGGCGCCAAACGTCCTGTGAGGGCAAAAGGATGTTTACAGCAGAAGGTCTGTGCGGGGACAGTGGGGGTTGATAAGTACGGGCTGAGCTTTGGCACCAGGCGAGAAGACAACAGCGGTTGTGCATGGACTGTTTTTCCAGGTATCTCTCTGCATGCTGGCAGATGTAGGTGATGTCAGCTCTTGTGCAAAGAGTACATGACTAACCACTTCTGCAAAACACTCTTGAGGTACTAGAGATAATAGTTGTCCACCCACAGTTCCCAGCGGTTGGATGAAGTTGACCCAAACAGATCAATAATCAAGTGTTGTGCCTCCGTGGAGGTTTGACCTCTTTGCTTTGCTCTGAAATTAGCAAAGGGGTACACGGGGTATTATATCATTCCTTTTAACATCCAGCGAGTCAGATCATACAAATCAAAGTGCTTTTCAAACCCCCCTTTAATCTTATACATTTTAATTTACTGGAATCTACTTAACCAACTATGACATCATGAGACAGATGTTTGTCTTACCATTTGAGACACATTTTCAGAATCTTAAGACCAACATATTTCTTTCTAATTAATTCATGGAGGCCTTAAATGGAATATGAAGCATTTATATGATGAGATTATATGTCTGTTGGCTAGTTTTGGAATTTCGCTTTCCCTTTTTTATCAGAAAAGGGTAAATCAGGTGATGTTCTACTGCTTTCTGTGCTTGAACTGAATGTTGCTAGTGAACATGTGATTATAAATGAGGTGCGTATTGACAGTGGCAGACGGGGTTGATTGGGAAAATACAATTAAAACCATATTCACCAGTTTTAGCCAGAGTAAAGTGATTTGAAGGACAAAAATAGCTCATTTAAAAGTAGTCTCCTAAAGTCAATTAAGACTTTAAATTCTTATAACTAATTAGCAACTAAATCTGAACTACAACTTGCTATAAACAACATTTAAGCATTCTCCAATCTGCGCTCAGTGCGGCCGTCTCGCAAGACAGATCCTCCGTATCAGTCTGCTAATTTATAAACTTCCTCCGCCAAGAAACAGCTGGGGAACTTGGCGAAGCGCAGCACTGTGTGTGTGTTTGTGTATCTGTGTGTGTGACAGGGCAGCTGATCCTTTCCTGGCTGTTTCTAATTTGCACATCACCATAATGTTTTTGGTGTTGAAGAAGCCCCCTCCTCTCCCCGGGGTCTCAACTGAGCAGATCCGAGGAGGCACCGGGGCAGTCCCTGTGGGGACAGAGCTAAAGGGAGACTGAAGATATCACTGGGGTCAAAATTCCCCAGTGGGTGGCAGACCCCCCCCCCCCCCCCGTTTTGCCTCATTTGAAATTGTGTTGCAAGACTGTGCGAGATGTGTTTTGGCAACCAAACAATGGATACCCGAGCTTGAAGCAAAGCTGAAGCTGCATTATTATTGCGAAACCACTTGAACATTTTTACCCCGATAATCCCATTTTGAGGGAGGGGGGACATGATACGTTTGGGCAAACCTCTGGTCAATTGTCAATATTAAACCACACAGCGGCCCCTCCACATAGTCTACTGCGTTTGTCGTTGTGATAGGTCACTTGCTCTGCAAAGTCGCCCTTCACTTTGCAGAAACATCCCCAAACATTTTTTCTCAAAACTGGGGGGACATTTTTGTCTCGGCTTTCATTCATAATGCTAAAACGCTCCACAGCAATATCTGGCCAGCCTCCTGGCTGGAACGTATGCTCCCTCCACTATTCTGCCCTCCAGCCGCTTACAATGACAAACTACAATACAGGATTTTCACAAGTTAAAGTAATTGGTCACATGGGATTATTTGGAGAGACTGCACGCTGTGATTTTACCTTTCCGAAAAGTGCAGGAAGACATTACTGCACTCAGCAGAAATGTACAGGTTTTTTTTTCACCTTTATTTGATTAATGGCAAAAAGACAACTTGATTTGTCATCAGTTTTGTAAAAACAAATATGTGTACGCTCAGGCCCTGCATTTTGTGAACGCGAGCCTCTTCAATGCACTTCTACTGATTTCCTCTAGCAGAGCTTGTCTATTCGTTCCAATCTGCCAAAATGTAATTAATTTAAGTACAATTCATGACCCTTTGGGGTATGAAACACATGATTAAATTTCACTTGTGATGGAGATGTAATCCCCTCCTCATTTACCTTTCATGTATGCTGGCTTCAGGCTTTCTCTCTGTCTCTCACATCCCTTCCGTCTCTTTGTTGTTTCTGCACTGCTGGAAGCATGAACCTGTGATTTGCATCAGGTATTTTAACAATGCTTACTGATTACACTTGCTGGCTTGTGCTGCGATGCATTTACAGCCAAAATAACTTGGAAAGAAAAGAGTCAGTGGCGCATGTTGCTCCAAGAATCTTTAAAGAGCTGGTGCAATTGCAGACCTCTTTGATACTTGCACATAAGCTGTGGCGGGCTTAAACTACATAACGCTACCCGCCGTGTAGAAAAGGAGATTTGTCGACCTGGAGGATATGATTCAATTTGAATTTTGTCTCGTGTGCTATGCAGCAGCCGTGGTCTGAGCCTTTGCTGCAAGCTACTGTCTGGGATTTTGCATTGATGAGACACCAGCGTCACCTTTTTAAAATGAATAAATAAAATGTGTAAGCCAGCCTCTAACCCGTGCTGACACATTAGAACTGATTATAGGATCCACAGTCACGTTTTGCAAAACACACAGCGGCAGTGTGAGATCCCAGCTGTGCTTACATGTCATTCCCCCTCGTTCTCCTCTTTTGTGACTGCACTCAAAACCCACCTATTTAAACATGCTTTTGATCCATTACCCCCACCCCCCCACCCCCTTTTACGTCTTTCAATATTTTTTTCTCTTTATATTTCCAGTGCCTTTGGGTATCCGTTTTAAAGCGCTGTACCACTACGATGTATCATTATAAATGGTTACCTTGCTGACCCACATGCTGCCTGTCATTCCCACTAAGATTATTTGACACGTTATGTTTGCCGTCTCTTCACCCTAGAAGAGCCGTCCTGATTAATTCTCTGCAAATGCAAATACAGAAGGATCGTTTCAGTAGATTACAACCCCTGGGTTAGACCCTGATCAACACTGGGAGGGATAAGGGGTGTTGTGAAGTGGCTTTCATGTTTGCTTTCTTTTTTATTCTCCGTTCCAGATCTGCAGCTGTTAAATCAACAACATGGCCGAATGGAAGGTGGATAACGTTGTGAGGAGCGGGATGGTGGCACTCATGCTCCTGTGTAATATAACAAAGGTAGGACAGCCTGCATGCAATGAGGCAAAGGCTGAGAACGCCAATCATATGTCCAATGGCAATCAAAACAGTTAATAATATTAATATTTTGAATGTTATAATTTCAAAATGATAATAGTAATCATAACAAATCATAATCAATATTGATATATTTTTTTCTTTAAAAGATTACATTACATTTTTGGCCGCGTTTTGTATGTTAGGATCCGTATTCCTGAAAAGAAATGCAATAGCTTCAAGTCTGGATTAAATTGACCTATTTTGATTTATTTATGTTAGTTTTAGTTTATGTTGGGGATTTTTGAAGGATTAAATAGCTGCTTCAGGTTAGTATCAGTTGTGTGATAAATAGGGCTGGACATATCTTTGGCAAAGATGTCATATTTTCCATGCAGCAAAATGGACTTAATGGAAGCTTGTGTATGTTGGACTATTTTTCCTGCCGTTCTAAGTAGAATACAATGGACTGTCCCATAGAGTTTGAAAACACAGTCGAAATTAGGTCCAGACCTGTGCTCGCACGCACTTTTTTCTAGAATGAAGCTCAGTTTTCATAGACTTTGAAATCCATTTTTTCTCTGCTGTATGGGTCTGCTTTGTTGTCTTCAGTGGGAACTATTTGGTCTAATATCCTTTTGATTAAAGCCACAACCAAAAAGATTCATTCAAGTCTCCACTTCCTTGCAGATATTGGTGAAGGCGAGCCCGGAGGCCAATGAGAGCCAGCAGCAGCATCCAACCAACGTCTACCACGACATTGGAACCACCAGGAACAAGATCGTTACGGCACAGTTTGAGTGCTATCAAAAGATAATGAAGGACGATATCGAAGACAGACAAGGTAGCTCGTTGTGTCTCGTGTTACTGTAACAGTAATAATGTTCCTGTGCTAAATGATTAGAAGAAAATATTTTGCTGTCCTTTCGTGTGGTTTTAGAGCCCATGTGTAATCGCACTTGGGATGGCTGGCTGTGTTGGGACGACACCACGGCGGGTGTGAACTCCGAGCAGAACTGCCCAGACTACTTCCAGGATTTTGATCCTTCAGGTAATAATCGGTGGTGCAGAGGTGCATTTGCGCCACGCATGTTCTTCTTTAAAGTGTTACTCTAGCAATTTAGTTAGAAGACGGATCAATGATAATAATACTCTAGATAAAATGCAGCCGAGAGGGATATTGCGACGATTGCTTGATCCTACTCTTCCCATGGTATTACTTAACTAGATGATGAATAAATACGTTGACCAAGCCACCAGAGAACATTTCCCACACAAAAATGAACTTTCCATACTTCACATCAGCCTCGGGTCATGCTTGCAGACATGCAGAATGTCACGTGGTTAATGCTGCGAAACGATTGGTTAGGTTGAAGCAAAGCTCCGTCGGTCAGTCATCTTCTATACCAGTGGTCCCCAACCTGTTTTACCTCACGGACCTTTTTCATGGGGGGGAGGGGGGGGGGGGGTGTAGTAGTCGCGCGCTCTCTGTTCGCTGGTGGGCGAAACTGCCGTGCACGTGCCGTGTAAGAGGACAATTGTAAACGTGAAGAAAAACGCCTTGTGACGCCTGGGGAATCTGTCAGAGGGACGAGCGCACATAATTAGGAGAAAATCCGGTCAATTTTCAAAATAAAACATTTTTCAGAAGAAAAAAAATATATATATATATATATATATTCTTTCTGTGGTGCGGCCCGGTACCAAACGGTCCGGTGGTTCTTATCCTTAGATAAGTGGTATATATCCTTAGTCGCAGAGGGGGCTGGAGTCACTTGTTCAAGGTTAGAATGAGAAATGCTTCATACTAGTTATTATGACAGATCATTTTAAACGGCATATGTGACTTGAACCAAATGGAAAAAGACAACAACTAACTTAATAGTATAATATTATATTATATAATAATAAAAAATACATATGTTTTAATTGCTGGGAGACATTTAGTTGAAATTTCAGTACATCACATCCTTCAACAGGATACGCATAAATAGATACCGGCTGAGTAATCGCTGCTCTCTGTGGTTCCATGTGTATCACTGTTTGGGACTTTTAGCCGTGGGTTCTTCCCCTGCTTAACCGTAAATAATACCAATAAATATCCTCTTAAGAAGCAGCCCACAAGGTGTTAGTAAATCAAAGCTATCAGTGGAAGGTGGTTTGTCTTCACATCTTTGCATGATTATTTACCTGCAGAGATGGTTATGAAGATCTGCACCGAGAGCGGCCAGTGGTTCCTGCATCCGGAGAGCAATCGAACATGGACCAACTACACCCGCTGCAATGAACACACCAATGAAAGCAGAGTGGTAGGTCCCTTTATGAAACGGACCTAAATGCATATAGAATTAAAGTGGCATGGTTAGTACCGACCTCTTAATAGATCGGTTGGCATTTCACTGTAGATTTGTGGTAATGAGATGATGGAGATGGGTCACTAATACATGCTTCTCAAACATACATTTAACATTATTGCGCAGTGTTATGCTCATGTTGGCTCAAATGTACTGAAATGATTCTTTAAAAGTACAGTTTGGGAGGGGTAACAGAAAAGCAAAACTTGGTCATGAATCAATAAAAATTATTTCCTGGGGGAAAATTGTACTGGCAATTTATACTGATAACACATAATTTCCGGATGGAAATGTTGACGAAATGGTGCAGCTGTGAGAAACGTGATGGCATTAAATAATCAGCATTTATCATCTGGAGGCTACAATCATTCCTAGCCATCGACTTATTGTGCCTCACCTGTTGGTTGATGGGATGGCAATAGGAGGATGAATATAGTATTGTCTGGGGAAGATCTAAAACCAAATTAGTCAGTAACTAAACTCAAATGACGGTTTAACATGATTGCGATGCCCTCATTACATAAATTACTTAAGGAGTAAAAGGATATGAGTCTTTTTGAAGACCACACTAACGTGACAGCCATTAGGAGAACCAGATAATCTAATCTGTGTCTTATTTCTTTTTCCATCCAGACTGCAATGAATCTTTTCTACTTAGCTCTCATAGGACATGGCCTGTCACTGACCTCCCTCTTCATCTCCCTCGGGATATTCTTCCATTTCAAGTGAGTCAACAAACCTCACGTTCAGCACACTGTAGTGACAGATCCCATGTCCTATCGCCCGCATGACCGAAGCGCTGTGGTTCAATGTCGCCTTTTGTCTACTTGCAGGAGTTTAAGTTGCCAAAGGATCACGCTTCACAAAAACCTCTTCTTCTCCTTTGTTCTGAACTCTGTGATCACCATCATTTGGTTGACAGCGGTTGCAAACAACCAGGAGCTGGTGCAGAGGAATCCAGTGAGTTTATCGATCCGGTTTTCTTTTTTTATATTTAAGAATTTTGTATTATTTTTGCCGTGCCATATTATAATATTTGCACTAATTTAAGTGCATTTCCGTTTATCTAAATTCATTTCACTGTAAAAGTACTGCACGAGGAAGCAGAAATAAGCAGCCCCATTAATTCTGTGTGCGTTTCTTACTCCTCAGACGAGCTGTAAAGTGTCCCAGTTCGTTCATCTGTACCTGTTTGGATGCAATTACTTCTGGATGCTGTGTGAGGGCATCTACCTGCACACCCTCATCGTGGTGGCTGTGTTTGCTGAGAAGCAGCACCTGATGTGGTACTATCTTCTAGGCTGGGGTGAGTCATACATAACGGCTCGCGTCAATGCCAGTCGCTCGCGCTTCTGTGTGACATCATGACTTCGGAGCCAGTCGGGGTTTGGTACAATTTGTATGTATTTATTTGTTCATGTTTAATCACCTGAAACCGTTTACTTGTATTTATTTTGCAGGCTTTCCTCTCATTCCGGCTTGCATACATGCGGTTGCTCGAAGTTACTACTACAACGACAAGTAAGCATTTAAGTGCCTCATCTATTGAAGCGTATAATTATATTGGTAGTAAACAAATGCCAACAAAGCAATAAAATACATCTGACTGTGATAGAAATGAAAGGAAATAATCATGCCTGGAAATGTGTTTTAAAATGAGGGACTCAGCTGGTTTGGGCCAAATAATACCACAATCCCCTTTACGACATATTCTTACAATATGCTAAAGATTGTTTGATATCCTGTCTGTATTTGCACCTGGCTAATGGTGCAAATCATTCAACCTCTCTGAAAGCCTCTTTAATCAATCCCGCCATTAAACTGTTGACGCTAATTCCTTTCTCATTAAACCCATTGATCTGCATCATGGGTCAGCTGCCATGTGATGCACTGATACTATCGCGTTAATGAGCGCTGTTCTTCTCTCCGCGACTGAAGCTGTTGGATAAGCTCCAAAACGTCGCTGCTCTACATCATCCACGGCCCCATCTGTGCCGCTCTTTTGGTAAGACGCTTCGCTCTCTCCTGTCAGCCACAATAATAACAACTCATTTGTTCTGTGTTCCTCTCGTAAACTGTTATTGTGGCGCAGTGAACAAAAATAACAATAATAAGCGTCCAGCGTTCCGAGCGGATACTGTGTGGGGGGTCTGAAAACAGGACATGGTTTCAAAGCGTCTACCCTCGCGAGGATCCAATCACTGGTCGCAAGTTCCTTTCTAGGAATCCACCTAATCAGCACCGATGGGGATTCTTCAGAGAAAGCTGGTCCCTGAGCACTAGCGCAGTACTTAATGTTCGAGTCTTGAACAAAGATTTAGCAGTATTTTTTGCCCAAAACGGTCTCGGTGTTGTTCTTAGTAAAGAGTCTTTACCCAGTAAGTTAATTCCCTCAATACGCTGCTGATTGACTGAGGAACTCTCTGTTGCTCCCACCACTAGGTCAATTTGTTCTTCCTGCTGAACATTGTGCGAGTACTCATCACCAAGCTGAAGGTGACCCACCAAGCGGAGTCCAGTCTCTACATGAAAGCCGTGAGGGCCACGCTCATCCTGGTGCCTCTCCTGGGGATCCAGTACATCCTGCTGCCCTACAAGCCGGAGGGACGCGTGTCCTTCGAGATATACGAATACATCATGCACATACTGATGCATTACCAGGTGAGATGGTGGTGGGTGCTGAGGTTGGAACGGAAGTTTTTGTGTAGACCTGGTGTCTCTGCACATGGTTACATGTTAATGGCTCCTCTCTCAAACGCCAGAGGTATTTATTTCACTAAAACGAACTGTTGCCTGGATATAAACCCCCCTCTTAGCTTTCATTTCGAGGCGAGCGTTCCTGTTGGCCTCTGACCAGGCTTTGTTTATGTTGTAGTGCAGGGACGGACAGCAGGAAGGAAGGCATGAATTATCTGAGGGGGATGAAATCAGCTGGATGTTTTAGTGAGGTGTTATCTGATCATACTGAGCTCTCCCAGCACAGGCATTGCCGGGAGAGCGCCTTGAGCATCTATTGGCTTCTTCTTCACCTTGGGTTTTAAAGCATTACCTTCAAACAAATGACTTTTGACCCGTAAGACCTGTTGTTTTGGTGGTAATCATCTATCTTTTTCATGTGTGTCATTTTGGGAATTCCAGGGTCTGCTGGTGGCCACCATCTTCTGCTTTTTCAACGGAGAAGTAAGATTGGGGTTATGCCCTTTTACTATTTGCTTCCTCTGCACGACCCCCCTCCCCGCCCCCCCAAACAGGATGGCGAATAGGGGGGAATGTCTTGATAAGCTCAGTACTCCAAGGCTAACTATGGTTTACTGTTGGCAAACAGCCAGGGAGAGAACACTGATGGAAATCGATTATTCAGGTGCCTGATGTAAGGGAACAATTCTACGAATCGTTGAAGCAGCTATTTCAACCCGTGCATCCAGTTTTAATGTAGTGCGGCTAAAGCACACGGGTTAAAATAGCATTCAGTTTAAACAAGTCCTTTGGAGAAAAAAAAAACATATGGTTTGGGATCAATCATTGTAAAGAAACATTTAACATTTTGAGAAATACTACTGTTTGAGATTGAGGGGATTTCATTGTTAATGGCCTGCTAAAATATGACCTTAGTTAGGCACAGAAATGGGTAGCAGGGCATATTAGCATCTAATAACCGGCTCTCTCCACAGTCAACATGGCTGTTACTCCCTGGATGAAGACATTTTTTAAGTAATCCCTGCACAGTTCTGCCAATGCTGCTTCTTTCGGGCAGAATCAAGTGTTATTAGTCATTTGATTGAAGTGAACGTACTGTTCCTTTCTGGTGCCGCGTAAAGTCACCATCAACACCATTTGTGTGAGCTTGTCATATAAATGATCATTAAAACACAAAAAACTCTTAATATCTAATGAATAAAGCTCACTAAGTGCCGAGCCAAGCGAAAGCAGCGGTTTCACCCGATGTATACTAGGCTGGGCTAATTGTGTCAAAGCCGTAGCTCGATACAACACAACATGAATTAAACTCATATTGATCTTTCTAACTCTTGGAGAGAATGCAACAAATGTGCGATTTGTGATTCCTCTGGTTAGGTCCAAGCGGTTCTGAGGAGGCACTGGAACCAGTACCATATCCAGTTTGGAAGCAGCGTGGGGAACCACTCCGACGCGCTGCGCTCCGCGTCCTACACGGCGTCCTCCATCACAGAGGTGCAGGGCTGCTACAGCATCGACAGCCACACAGAACACATGAACGGCAAAGGAGGCTTCCACGACGCCGACGGCTCCATCCTAAAGTCAGACAGCCCCTTCGGCTGACCCAAACGCCCCCCCGGCCCCCTCGTTCTCACCCTTAAAAACACACATGTTTGGAGCGCAGCGTCAACCAGGGACACCCACCTCTTCCTTTACATACAATATGGGAAGAGACAAGGGAGGAAATGGATTGTAAAGTGAGGCTCTGAACCACCTGAAGGCAATGGTCCCCTCTCTGTCACACCAACAAGAACCCCCCCCCCTCCCCCCCCAGCGGAACTCTACGGTGAGCTCGATGCAACTATTCCTGGGCGTTTGTTTTTTTTTGTTGCAATTTGACACTGAATTGCCTCACTTGACCTAAGATGCATTCTGATAATCACAACATTTTTAGTTTTTAATGGATGAATATTAACTGCTTGCCTGTAAGCTTTTGGTTACACTGTAAATGTTGTTGATATGGTTAGTGCCAAACCAAGAAATCTTTGCTCGCCTCATTTATTTTATTTTTAAAACAGAATTAGAACGAAGGTAGGACGTCCAATAGGTGCATAACAATATATTACAGCTATATTATATCTTTCACATGTTGAACTTTATTTATCTGAACATATAATTATTGAATGAAAAAGTAATAAATACCGTACAGTATTTATTGGTCGTTGACATTATACATGTTTAAAAATTAGTTGAATATGACTTGTTGCCAGCTTTCTGTAAATGTTCTATGTATTTCTTGTTTGTTTCAGTGTACTAATGCAGATGATTTACCAAATCATACCGTGAGCTTGTAAGCTTATTTTTAGAAATTCTTGCTAATCTTTGGGTGTGTTTAAGTGATCCTTAGTGACCTGTGTATCCTCTAAACCACATGATTTCTTGTAACGTAACTTGTTAACACGTTATCATCACGCAAAAACATCTTTAAATCACATGTACTCCAATATTCACTCATTACACTTGAATGTAACAGTGAAGTTACATAAATATATATATATAGAAAAATATATTCAGTGCACAATCCCCTTAAAGTATTTAGGTAAAGAAACTACTTGGTCAGGCTTAGCAAAAGATCATGCTTTGGATTAAAATAACTAGAGAAATGGGGTTACAAAAGTAAGAAAGTCAGGTGACAAATAAGTCAAAGTCTCGCACAACTTTACTAAAAAGGTGCAACTAAGAACATAAGTCACTTGACAAATAATTCACTGTTTGGGTTGAAATAACTATTCAAGTGGCACTTTTAAAGATGGAAGTTAGGTCCAAAATAAGTCACAGATTGGGCTAACTTTCGAAGTTGCTGTAAAATATGTAACAAATAAGTAAATATTTTAGTTAAAATAACTTCGGAAGTGGCACAACTAAGTATGGAAGCAACATGATGAATGAGTCGACGCTGACCAGCAGCGGCCTCCTGCAAAATCCTCACTCATTGATCCCAATTGCTCACTTTTGCAAATTGACATTCCATCACCTGACCTGGCTCTCAATACAATTTGACAACGTGGGTTGTATACTTCATTTAATGCATTGCTTTTTGTAGGTTTGGCTATGAACAGTTTTTTGAGAACAGCCTTACATTGCATGTGAGTACTGTGTTAAGATACATTTGAGAAAATCCTAACCCGTCTTTTGAGGCATGAGGCACCAGGGGATTATAACACCGTGAAGAAGAGTTCTACAACTGCATTGTTGACCGTGCTGGGAATGATTTTATCCTCCGTCTCGTGCGGTTGACATTCCTGAAATGCACTTGCACCTATTTGATTGGCCATTGCAGTGTGTGTCCAGATGTTGCAGGATTTTATTACAGCAAATGGTGAGTCTTGGCAGCGCGAGTTGACCTCGTCGAAAGAAATGACGGAGATGCGTTTTTGTAGTGCTGACGTCAGTCTGAGCACACGCCTTATTCAGAGGGGAGGATATTATCAGGTCTCACAAGCTGTGCAACAAAAACAAATTGTACTGCAACATTATTTGTTGAGCATTTAGCTGAAGCAGGCTGTGTGTAATCCAATGAAATGTTTTTGTAAATCTAGCTTGTCTGAGAAGAGGGGAAATTTAACGTGTGTGTATGCATGATTTATATGTAGAGTATTTATGAGTACCTTGTGCTCTGACGCATTTTCAACCACAAAGCGTCCGTCTTTATGTGACAGTGTGTGGGAAGTTGATACAGAAGTTGTTTGTTCTAGCTGTATGTTTTAAAAAGGGAGGGTTGGAAATAGCTTGCAACAAGCTGCTCAGTACGTATCACTGCCTTCTGTGTGAGTTGATTCACTTCCTGTGACACAATGTTTTGTCAGTATTCTCGTCATTAAGAGGACTGTGGTGACTTAAAATCACACTAGCATTAGAAACCACACACAACAGGTAAAGATGCATATTAAGTCATTATTCTGGTTTGATAATGTTTGAGGCAAAGGGGTTCATTTTGGACACAGGAATATTTTCTCAGTATTCTATGCAACAGGTGTAATTATCAGCACACAGTTTATTATGTTTTCAAGTCAGATCTGCAGGACAGTTTCTCCATTTAATCATAAACTATACAAATAGCATTTCTGGCTTTCACAACTCTGATTTGCAGCAAGCAATTCATGTACAATGAAGCCTCATTAAACCAAGTCATTTGTTCTGAAGTGAAGCATCGTAATCTTTCATGAAGCAACAACAATTTAATCACAACTGTGGAAAAGCTAGAGGCTTCTAGCAAATGTATTAACTCCTATGTGTATTATTTTGGCTGAGTACAGTATTTTATGTGTTATATATTTTCATTTAGCTATCAAAAGGGTTTGTGACGTCCCCTGTGTTACGTGCAGCTTTTTTCTGTTCTTAAATACCTTGGTGACATTTCGTAAAGTACAACGAAAGCATTGAGGGTCATTTTAATGTACTGTATTTAACTTTTGGTAGTGCTCACACGTTGACTCCTCACTGTTACACTTACACTTATACATACATATGTATATATGTATAGGTACAATTTGTTTGTCTTTTTTATTATTTCACTGAATTAGACAATGTTGCTATTTTGTGTGTATCTGCACACTAATACAATATAGCACAGCACCAGCCGTCGACTCTTTTTTTGTCTTACTGCACAATATTGCTCTACACACACTGTTATATGTGGGTATGTTTTTATTTGGGATTTAGTGTAAACGTTTCAACCCGGTTTGCTCCATAAAACCTTTGCTTTTTGCATTCTAAATTATATGTTGAGGGAAATGTTTTTTTCCAAGGTTACTGTAGCAGTTTTAAACACTTGATTATGTGTTTAGTTGAAACAGAACAAAAAAAAACCTCATCTACTCTTTATCTGCATGATTACGCATATGGTAGGGTTAGCGTAAAGCTAGAATGAAGCAGTTAAAAAACAAGTATCTTCAGTTAATGTTGACTTTTGGGATACGGAGGGTTTCCTCCTGGGTGACCGACCCATCCGACATGTTCCCCCAGCCCAGACTAGCAATTCAAACACATCTGGCCTTTGTGTGAGTGAATTACTAGTGATCCATGTTTGAAATCTTTTGTCATGAAAATCTTAAATGTCATCACAGCTCCACAATTGCTTTAAACCTCAGTACAACTGATCTCTAGCTAGTTCATTAATCGCACAACTTATAAACTCACTACTCCTCATAATGCCAATACTAGTGCATGTTAAGTCCTTCAACTACTCATAAAAAAGTTTATGAGGTAAAAACTTTTAATATTTATTGTGTTCGTCTCGCTGACTGTATATAACGTGTTTAGTGTCAAAGTCAAGTCTGTCATATCTCGAGAACACAATGTAACTACACTAACACCTATCTGGCTCTGTGGAGGGGCCTTTTAATGGGAAACATCTGGCGCACTGGCAAAGAATCCCCACAGTGACTGTCAAATGGAACAAAACAAGCTTATTTTTATATCAACAATCCCTTTGGTAGTGAGAGGTTTGAGGAAAGTGTTAAAAAGGTATGTGATAAAAGGGTGTTATGACCGGCATGTTGATAATACAAATGATCCAATACATTTACAGGAGACAGTGAGAATAAATGTTCAGTACAACAGCCTCTTGTGTATAGATAATATAGGGCTGCAACTAATTATTGAAATTAATTGAAGGAATTCTGAGATAAAAGTTAATATTCAAGTAGTAAGTACATAAAATGTATTTAAAAATAAAGTAAAAACTACCAGACAATACTGCAGCAACCTCACATTTATAAAAGGTTACAATAGAAGTATATAGTACAATAGAATATACTGGTAAATAAATATGGTTGTGGTGATATATTTGCCGTAAATGTGTCTGTAATGCTGATTGCCGTGTTCGATTTGATTTAACTCTCCTCATCTTGAGAATGTAAAAACCAATGATTGGCCATGGTATATTGGTCACAATTCAATATCATTGATCGTGTCTGCTTATATGGGTGTTATGACTGAAGTTCTAATATTGCAATATTGTGGTTTAAATGAATAGATAGAAGTTAGACTCAACAAATATCCTCCTGTCACAACATGACATAAAATCTTATTGTATAGAAAAACATAGGCCAAAAAACGTTTGAGGTGACCGTCAGTTGCAATTTCTGACTACATTGCCTTGTATGCCGCGTATGTTTTGCAGCTAACAATGCAGTGAGAGTGAGAATGTTTCTCGTTTACGTCTGTTAAATTACATACTACATGGAATATTAATATAATACATTCAAAAGCAAGGCAACGCGGGACTTCAAATTCAAATGCACTGTTGAGGCTGTTTTAGTAAAAAATTAAATGCTGTTCTGAGCAGATGCATTATTAATTTACAAATAGGCCCCCATGGAATATTTATGGTGTTATATTATTTATGGAAGTATAAGATTCAGGGCTGTTAGATTATGAGCGGCCTGAAACAAGTGGCATAATTTCTCATTGCACAATATTCCAAACACGCTCCTCCCAGACGCCTCCACGCTACGCTCCACAAACGGGTCACCGATACCCGAACAATCTGTTCTTTCCAGTATCGGCTTTAAAACAAGGACGAGGTGTCGCTCCACAACAACGCGTTCATACTGTCATTTCATAAGCTGCCGAGTTCAAAAGTTTATCCCCGACGTTCTAAATGTAGTTGTAGTAACAACTCAGAGTTGAAGGCACGTTTCCACCACTGGCCCCTTCAATCCCGTTTTGTTTAATTATAACTCCCAGTGCTCGTTGTCCTCTGCTCCACTGCCTCCTAAACAGCCTGAGCTGACATAACACATTTCTTCTGACCCGTATCGAACTTTTCAGCATGTGGCAGCTTGGATCCAAACCATAACAGGTCACCTGAGATAAGTGTGGGGTACACATTTTACATTTTCCATTCAACGTGAACAAACATTTCATGTCTTGTCCCCTGCTGGCCTGTGGCTTGTCTCCCCTTTTCGTGACCTGAATATGTAAGGCTGCACACCGCTGGCTGGTAACTGGTAAAAGGAAGGCTGCTTTGGGGCGCTGTCGCCTGCACTTAGCCTCAAATGTTGTGATACATTTGGTACACTGCACAACATGTCGGCTATTACGTTGTTCCCTCATTTACATTTTTTGACTGCAGCCGGAGAGTTTTTTCTTTCACGCACAGATATGAATGTATTCCTGAGGAGGATTAGAGCATCAGGATTGAATGCTATGAAATATTCCAGCATGTGCTCACCTCAGACTGAACAACAACAGTTGCCATAACATTTTGTTGATTGCCGTTAAGAATAAGAAGGCACTACCAATCAAAAACCGAGCAGTCCGACGTACTACATCCAAGAAGCCGTTTGTTTGCAGCTTTTTTCTGTCCTTAAATCCATTTGAGTAAAACTTCCTATAAAAGCAAAGGCTGTCGAGGTGCACAGGAGCTCACTAGGGGCTATTTTTTTACTCCCGAGGGTCGTGCCCCAAGATAAAACAGTTAGTCTGAACTCTACAGCAGACGCGACAAGTCATTTATCAAGGAATAACCTCAGCGCCTTTTTTCCCCTTGCATCGGAACGGGAAAGGCTGTTTATAGCCGTGATACGTGTTTCAGTGACTTCGATCCATATCTTTTTTTCAAAGTAACAATAAAGAATATTCAAACTAAACGCAAACCAATTTTCAATTTGAAGTCTAAAATACATACAAATCTGTCTTTGTGTCTGATGCAATGCAGACATAGATCCCAAATATTTTGACTAGTAACATTCTTGCAAAGTTTTGTTGCGTTTTCTCAGAGTGGACACAAAATGATTACTGGATCTATAAGTATATAACTGCTGCAGTGCCAATAGGGGTTGTTGTTACACAGTTCTCATTGTCTTCCTTCCCCCAGGGACAATTACGTTTACGTATGTAAAAAATATACTGCATAAGAATGAAAGTAGTGAAGACGTCTTCTCTTGGGAATGGATGCCTATTGGCCCAAACGGAAATGATCAATGAGTCTAGCAGATCAAAACTATAAAACTACTATATATATAGTTTTACTAGATAAAACTATATATTCCGTGACTGGCTATGGGGAAAGGATGCGTACAAGGGAAAAGATAACGTGCAAGGACCGTCCCACCAAAACGGACTGCAGACACAAGAGACGTTGGATTCCTCGCACCGCTTGGTTGCAGCATTAACGCATGAGCTTCTCATTGAAGTCCTTTAGGGTGCAACGGACAAGACATCTCCAATGTGTGTGTGTGTGTTATCTAATCGACCCCCGTCACGCACACCTCTCGAAAGCAGCGGAAACGGGACGAAGGGGGCCTTCAGCTCATTGAATATATTCATATATTCATATCTTGTGCAGAGCAGACAGCTTATGTTGTGTTAATGTAGGACGCCAACTCCACTGGAAAGATGCTGAGCAAGATTGTTTACCTTTGGGGAATCTTAGAAATGATTGTTAACGGGTCAAAGGGGTTTTTGAGGAATGTTATGCAACACAGGGCAGATCTGATACTCCCTGCTGACAAGAAGACAGTATCAATTTCACATTGAGATAACAAAGGCCTCATTAATGAAGCATTTGCACACTTTGATTTGGTTTCAGCTTGTGCAGATACAAATACGTGGCAGACGGAGCCACGTCTCCTGTCTGTCTCCTCGAGTATTACTATAAACCATACTATAGGTTCCCATCCCACCTGTTCATTCATTCTGTTTGTGCACATACCCAGGTCGGGGGCATCAACACTTTACTCTGGCTCCTTGGAAAGCATGAAGGAATGACACATCACAAAAGATAACCGCACCTTCATTTTGAGTGAACTACCCACTAGGGTGTAAATGCCAGCAGTAACACACATGAATGTTTCTTGTTGCTATGGGAACGTGGCATCATCCTCAGTAAAATGCCTGTTAGCCTGTTACACTCACTCTGTATTACAAGTGGATAGGTTTGTGGTTTTAATATTTAGAATCTAAACATGTCTACATGAGGTTTTCCAGTGACTTTTCTTGATGTGTGTGATCTAAGCCATTTAGATTCAGGCTCCAATATCCTGCTATGAACTTTAGAATAGACAGAGCAACCTGGTTCAGCTCCGGCTGTCCATTCTCTGCCTTTCCACACCATTGGTTAGCTGAGATATTTACAATTTTCTTTTTTGTTGGAAAAGCAGTCAAAATGTAACTTTCAACAGACTTCCTCCTCGGGCTGTTGCAAACAATTTGTGTTTATGTTCATTTTTAAATCTTGTTCATAGATATTTGTTTTGTTCATAGATTCTTCCTGTTGTGATATGTTGAATGTTTATCCTACTTTATTTAATAAAGGGGTTATTCCAGAGAGAGGGGCGTTCCCGGAGGCTATCTTTGTTTTAGGTTTTTAATTGAGTAACATAATGTACCAGGAAATTGTGCCTGACCTCTTTGTAGCTCTCTTCGCCACCTCAATGTCGATCTCTCCATCGCTTTCTGAACCCCTAAACTTCTTTTTATACTCCAGAGCTTCCCAGTAGGGGCCCGATTGGGTTCACAGCCATGGACAGGTGCAGACATCTGAGTCCTGCTCTTGCTTCCCTCCCTCCCACTGCCGGTGGGGTCAGTGGTTCACCGAGTCTTCCCATTTCTTGGGAAACACCCAGGGGGGC